TAATCTTCAATTTACTTGAGTGTTTCTATTTTTGAAACATTTTTACTGTCTTTTATATTGCCCTGGGTTTCTTGTTTCTTTCGAAAACAATAGACATGCACAAAATACTACACTATTGTGCACATTTCTTTTCTCATAATTAAGAAAGTAACAGATCAAATTGCATTATCAGTCTATAATGATGTATTTCCTCTCAGCACCTCTCAACACAAATGTATTTGTAATTACAGTTGATCAGATCTCTTATATGGAGTATTTCTTGCTAGTAGGTGTTTTCCATGCTGCTCTCAGTCTTGCTCTTTATAAATGTAAAATATCAACAAATGTCAACACATGTAAAGCTGAATTGATTACATCCAGATTACATTTTGAGCTGACAAAAGAATATGAAGGTGGAAAGGAATATGTCAAGGTGATTATTAAGCCTCTGGGTTTGCATGTGTATTCTATTCCAGCTGTAGTAAAAGTTAATATGATATGATTAGCAGATGGATGGATCCACTGACATTGAACAGCTATGTTGGCATATGAACAGCGTGTGTGTGTGTGTGCATTCTCGCAGAGAGACAAAACGAAACTCTTGTGTTTGATGTGAGAAAGTCTTTTGCTTCCTATGTCTGGTAAGGAAAGACAGTCAAACTTGTTAATCAACCGCAAAGGTTTCTTTATCTTCTCATCTACCTTTATGTTATGATCTGCCCCTTTAATGATTATGTTATTTTCTGTTTTACATTGAAGTTACTTCTGTCTCTTGGTTGTCTTGCTTCCTGTCTTTGTCAACTTTATATTACACTACATAACATGTCATTTAGCTGATGCTTTTATCCAAAGCGACTTCCAATCATTGCATTCAACATCTATGAGGGGCCATTTGGCATGGGCTACGATTCGAGCCGCCTACATCCTGTCTGGAGGACGACTGCTCTACCTATCAGCCGAAGGCACCCCATTTACCGTTGTCTTGACTGATGTGTTTCACCTGTGTCCAGTTGTAACTGCTTCCCATGTGTAATTATTTTCTGAGCATTGACTGCGTAGTCTGACCTTTTCTTCTGTTCTGCTCGGCCCATATAGTCCATCATTTTACTGCCATGGCGCCAGGATGGCTGCCGTGTCTTGAGCTCCTCACCAACTTCTCATTTCTAGTATTTTGTTGTACTTTTTCTGTTTATTTTAACTTTTTTTGTTAACATGCAAACTGCCCAAGCGAGCCCTATCTTTCAGTATATCGAACAACTTTTACTCATCAGGTCGCTGGCAAACAGCAAAAAACCACCACGACCAGCTCTCAACAACAATGGCGAGTATCCGTGGTTACCTGTTGGCGCTTTACCTGGGGGGCGCAGGAGACAAAGACGGTGAGGATCCCGGGCCGGGGTCCTAGTCAGGCTGAGGAAACGCGAAAACCGGCCTCCTCTACCGAGCTTACTTCTGGCAAATGTCCAATCCCTGGATAATAAGCTGGATGAACTCCGAAGCAGGATGGCAATTCAACGGGACATTAAGAACTGTAACGTTATGG